GTCAGAAGCAAAGTAAATTTTCAGCATAAACTTGCCTATTGAGTTCCCTTAGCTCAAGTTAAATACAGAATTTCGGGAGTGTATTAAGCTGATTTACATCGTCTAATGTAATTCTCATTCATAATTCAATAAATTTAAAAGTGAAAAATTTCAAAGCAAAGAATAACTGAATATAGCGAAATTGTTCTATTTACAGGAAAATAAATTAATTATTTGGTTCAATGAATCCACTTTCTATTTTCTTCAACATCAGGGGCTTGTTGATATTCAGAATAAATTAACTGAAAATTAAGCCTGGTGCGAACAACGATGGGCTGTAAAAACGAGGGCACGAGGGCAAAAAACTGCAGCAGCCCTCGAATTGTGGCCGTGAACTGCAGCAAGCAATATACTGCTACCCGAACTGCATGGCAACTGCTCACTAGGCAACTGCCATATGAACTTATGATCAGATGCGCGCTAAATCACGTACATGATACACTGTTAGAAAAATTACCGTTAACGGTATTACCGGCACTTCAGTGGCCGGTCGGCACGTGAAAAGAAACACCGTTTCACAGTTTTTATTCCAATTTAACACCAGAAATCCGTAAAACATCTGATAAAAACGGCGAAACAGTTTATTTTCACGGGGCGACCGGCCACTAGGATGCCGGTGGGACCGTTTTTTCACCGTTTTTTCTAACAGTGTAACAACTCAATAACTACATGTCTAAATTAACTAAATTTGTTTTATACTTGTCTTGAGCAAATAATAAATGCTTAATAAATCTGACCACAACGACCTAACACTGACTGCGCGCAGCCTATACGCACTGGAATGTAACATTTAGCAATGTAAATTGCCACTGTACCGTGTACTTTGGAGTACTACTGTAATGTAAATTACACACACCTCTTCACGCAGTCCCTGTTCACTCAAACTGTATAACAACAATATAATGCACACAATAACTTTACACAGTAACTGCACACGGCAAATTAGTCCGATTATTATACGTGACATCTTTGTTGATATGACATCGTCAACTGAGGCAAGATATGAGCACATCATGGGACAAGCAATCCACAATAAATTTTTGCGACGAAAGTAAATACAAATTTGTAAAGATAAATGCAACATCACTTATCAATTCAGAATTTAATCTTAGCTCGTACTCTGCTTTGTGATAACAGTTTGTATTTTTCTCATCAAACTTTGAAAAAATCTTTTAACGAAGACCTACAATTGGTGAAGTTCAGGGCCGTATTATAGGAGCCTACTGGCACGGTTGCGTTTGGTATAGGAGGATTCTGGCACGGTTGCGTTTGGTATAGGAGGATTCTGGCACGGTTGCGTTTGGTATAGGAGGATTCTGGCACGGTTGCGTAGATGTTCGTAAAACTTACGACCTTCTTAATAACGATGTTCGTAAAACTTACGACCTTCTTAATTATTCGTGGCCACCGCGCAGCGGCCCCGCCATGCCGGCACGGAACGCTCGGCGACACGTTTAAACTGCCGTTACTAGAGCTCACCTAGGAACTAGTCATATGTCCTATAAGAACTATTGGTCTAGGCGCAATTAATCAAACAGTAATTAATCTAAGAGTAGTTAATCTAAAAGCACAACATAATCTCCAAACAAATAATCTTTGAGTAACCCAAAGAAGAATAATCTAGCTAATACTTTATAATATAAGATCACTTGCCATAGTAGTGAAGAATTCGGGTTAGAATTCGAAGAGAAAATACTTGGAGGCACAGTACTATAGGTGCAAAGAGTAAACTTTTCAAAACTAATTTTGGAAAAGAATTTTTGAAGTAAATACGTTCAAAGTTAATACTATAGATAAAAATTCCTGTTGCGGCAAATACTGGAAGGATAAATATTTTGATGACAAATAATAATTACGTACAATCTCATCAATCATATACTGTAAAAAGAGATCAGATGTTAAGAGCCTATCGGCGAATATTTTATGAATAAATATCTCATAAGAGACATTTATTCATGAGATACTAGTGATGACAAAGTCCTGTGCACCCTACAGACCGCACTAGTTTAGACCAGCTATAGTATCACTACAACATGGGCATTGAAATCACCTACACAGAAAGAAGTAAGTTTTTTCTTCATTACACTCATCGTCCGAGGTATCTGTAGTATCCAGTTACTCCAGCATCAAGAAGTGCCCTCTTAACTCCAGATTTAGATTTTCTGGAATAATTTCGTCGTCTCATGTCGAAATTTGAGCTGGAGACTCAGAGTTATTTATATATACTTATTATTTATATAATATTATTTATATAAATAATAAGTATATATATTTATAATAATAATTAAAAATTTATAAAATTTTGAGTGTCGAAATTTGAGCTGGAGACACAGAGTTATTTAAATTAAATACTTCACATTAGCCGCAGGTTGGGTGATGCCGGTTCAGCTCGGGTGAATGTGCTCTCTATACCGGCAACACGAACAGCGGCGAGAGCACACAACATTAACTTCGAGCCATAAAAGACAATAACAAGTTTGACCCATATCAGACAACATTCATTTTGACCCATATCAGACAACATTCATTTTGACCCATATCAGACAACATTCATTTTGACCCATATCAGACAGCATTCATTTTGATCCATAAAAAACAATATTAACTTCGACTCATTTTAGACAGTATTAACTTCCACTCATCTGAGACAATATTAGCTTTAACCCATCATGGATAATATTAACTTCAACCCATATTAGAGAATATTAATTTTGACCCATAAAAAACAATATTTACTTCGACCCATACCAGACAACATTAACTTGGACCAAAATTACACAATATTAACTTCGATCGTACTAGACAATATTTACTTCGACCCATTTCAGACTATATTAACTTCCACTCACCTTAGACAATTTTAGCTTTGACCCATATTAGAGAATATTAACTTCAACCCCAGCCAGACAATATTAACTTGGACCAAAATTCAACAGCATTAACTTCGGCCCATATTACTGACCAAATGAGGCCGGCCTGTGTGTAGGAACAAGTGCTACTTATTACCAACACATAAGGGGTTAAGTGCAGCCTGAGGGCAGAGACAGCGCGGCATTCCTACGAGGGTTGGCGGGGCCCCCGCTTTCTGAGGTCAGGTTTACGCAACCTGAACTTGAAGCTACCACACGCCCAGGCCGATCTGAGGGCATTTTTTGCGCTGGTCGAACTAAGGAAAGCGCAGTCGATCGATTTAGTCATGCCTCTTGAAATGATTCGAGTTTGGCGCGTGCATATTCGTATACTTTTCCGACCTTGCGATCTGATTATGGTTCTAGTTCATTGCGTGCACATTTGCATAGTATTTATTATTGACCATGATTTTGCACACTGTCGTCTAATATAATTTTTTCCTTTTGGTGCGAATATTTTAAGAGCTACACTGTATGACCTACATCGTAGTAACTATATTGTTGAAATTAAATTAAATGAATTACGCTGCAAGAACTACGCTGTAGGAAACATACAATTAGAGCTAAACTGTGGCAGCTACACTGTAGAAGCTACACTGTTGAAGCTACATTGTCACAGCTACACTGTACAAGCTACACTGCAGCAGCTACACTGCAGCAGCTCCACTGTAAGAAGCTACACTGTAGCAGCTACACTGTAGCAGCTACACTGTAGCAGCTACACTGTAAGAAGCTACACTGTAGCAGCTACACTGTAGCAGCTACACTGTAGCAGCTACACTGTAGCAGCTACACTGCAGCAGCTCCACTGTAGAAGCTACACTGTGGGAGCTACATGCCTGTCTAAGCTACACTGGGGGAGCTGCAAATAAAGTTGTAGCTAAAACTCGTTCAATTAATGTCAGATCAACTTAGGTATCTCAAACGTTAGAACGATGATGGCATCTATACCTAGAATGTTAAGTTCTAAGTAGGGTTAAATAGTTTACAAAAGTGTACTGTATATTATAGAAACTGTAGTATCCTAATAGTGTAACGTAGATCTTAGATGGAACCAAGGCCCGTTTTATTCCTAGTAAATTGAAAATTACGTTTGGGGTAAAATTTCGTTTAATTAACATTCAAACTTCAACGCTAGCTGAATTTGTACCTTGGAAGTTTTAAGATAATAAAAACTACAACGTGAGGTTAGGCTCAAGTTCAACTTAGTTTCCGTCGACGCCCTGTCAAATTTCTATCGAAGAAGTTAAGCAAGATGGGCAAAAAATTTCCAAAAATGGCGGTGAAACTGCGACGTCGTAAGTCACCGCGCCCACCGCAACTGCTACCCGCGTGGCCTCCATGGCGAATGTTCCTCGTGGCGAACACACGTTATCACCACATTCACTCCACGTTATCACCACATCCATATCACCATAGCACCGCATTCACACCACCATTGAACCACATTCACACCACCATGCACCTATTTACACCACTATAGCACCCTATTCACACCACAATAGCACCACATTCACACCACCATAGCACCACATTCACACCACAATAGCCCCACATTCACACTCCGTTATCACCACATTCACTCCACGTTATCACCACATCCATACCACCATAGCACCACATTCACACCACCATAACCCCACATTTACACCACCATAGCACCCTATTCACACCACAATAGCACCACATTCACCCCACTCTCTCATCACCCTGCAATCCTCTTGAAGATAATCCCTTACGCTTCTCGTCTTCAAATCTCGAGGCAACGACAACACAAGCAACAAATAAGGTATCAAGAGTGAAGTTAAATGCGTCTCGTCTTAGTGTACTCTATTTGCTTTAGAAAGTTGCGCTCAAAAGGATGCACAAAAAAATGTTAAACTTAACCTTGGATAATTGACACCTTCTATACCCCAAAAAGATGATCCAAATAATGGGAGTAAAGCGAGCAGAAGGGTGAGGGAAGGAGTGAGGGTAGGGGGGTGAGGGATGGTGTGTGAGCAATTGTATATAAGGGGTGAGGGCAAAGAGAGGGCATCAGTTACTGCTGAACAACAATACGACATGGCTGCCTTCAAGGTATGTGAGGCCATTATTATTAAGTATTAGGCACCAAAGGTGTACTAACTTGTATGCTAATCTACTGTTGTACTATGCAATCTACTAACATTTTCCTATGCATCTCATTTATCTAATATGCTTAATTGAATCAGATCCAGTTTTTCTATTCGAAGGCTTCATCGTCCTCAAATTAGTTTCTAAATTAAGAGGATGCGCATATTACGCTACCCGCATACATCTACACGTTGAAGTGCAATGCAAATTTAAATTTTAATATAAAATTTCCGTGGTTGAATCCTCCCCTCTCCACCTATATCATTTAATAGAACGAAATAAAGCCAGCGCACAGCATATTAGTTGTGAAGGTATAACATTATTATTATTTGTTTGTAAGTTTTAACTAGTTAAAATTGCAAATGAAGCCAGCTTTTCCACTCAATCGATTTCTTTTACACTATTATTGTTCTCATAAAAACTTATAGATTCCTTCATCTTTCTGCCGTCACCATAAATTGTTACTTCATTTTTTTTTCAATCACTGAATTACTAATTGACCATTTTCAGATAGCGAATACTAAATTATCATCATTATATACTTCCCAAGAAATTAAAATTTGCAAATAACATTTTCATGAGTAAACTAAAATTTATTTTCTTGCACTTCAAATGTTCATATAGTCATATTTTGGTATCATTTCTTCTATATTTCTATCCCCCCTCGTCAGATCGCCCTGGTCCTCGCCCTCGCGGTGGCTTGCGCTCTCGCCGACGAGCGCCCGCGCTACACAGCCCCAGCCCCTCGCCCCTCCTACGAAGCCCCTCGTCCCTCATACTCCGCCCCTCGTCCTGCCGAGCGCTCGGAGGAGGAATACGACGAAGCCAAGTACGAGCTCGAGTGGAAGGTTGACGAGGACGGCAACAACTTTGGCCAGTCAGAGTCTCGTGACGGTGATGAGACGAAGGGTTCGTACGTCGTCGACCTTCCCGACGGTCGCCGCCAGACCGTGACGTACTCCGTCGACGGTGACTCAGGGTTCGTCGCCGAAGTGTCCTACGAAGGAGAGGCTCAGTACCCCGAGGAGGAGTCCGAGGAGCAGAGGTACGAGGCCCCGCGACCAACCTACCAGGCACCTCGTTCCGCTTACGACAACTAAAATACCAACCAACGCGGACCAGAAATAACGAACCCCAATCCTGATGTAATTTATTCCCATCAATAAAGCTCAACTCATTACTGACTTTCACTTACTCATCCCGAATACAATTTCGCTACAAAGTTGGAAGATTCGAGGCTGAAGATTAGTCCAATTCAATTTCAAATAATCGCTAAGATCGTCTTCACCAATATATTGGCTTTTAGATACACTTCAGTTCAGGGCAGCATGCTACAGATATGACATGTTTCCTAAAGTACGGGTATCAAATAAGTTATAGCCTGGGGCACGTTGTAACCTAAGCTTTCGAAGAAGTTTGAAATTCAGTCAACCCCGTGTCCGCTGACCAGCTGGGGTATGCATACAGCTCATTATGCGCCAAGGATGCAACATACACAAAAATCACTATTATGCCCTTAAAAACAGTAGCACCAACGACGGTTAATTCGTCACTATATAGATAAAGAATTAGTGCGCCGGCATATTCCAGCAGTGGCTCAACAGACTGGAATACTCAGCGTAACAAATTATATTTGTACGGAGCCAAGAAGAAATGCAGGAAGATAACAAGAGGTGCACTGAATCATGTAGATTTGCATTTACTAATACCAGTAGGTAAATGACGCTAGAACGAGTAGGTAATTAAAGTTGCATGGTATAAAGTATATTTACTGGATTTAAATAGAAGTGGAACTCGAAGATATATAGTAAGAAGAGAAATAATGAGAGGTTCCGGGTGGGAATCGGGCTGCACGGATTTTTTTCCCAGAAAACAAGCAACAATTAAGGTACCGAATCAAGGAAAATGAAAATAATTAGCGACGAAATATTCGAGCGGCACTTCGGCAACTCCAAATTCAGTTCTACTTCTGTACCGCTCCTATCTCACTCCTAATTCGGTGACGCTCATAACGCACTTATTCGAGCGGCACTTCGGCAACTCCAAATTCAGTTCTACTTCTGTACCGCTCCTATCTCACTCCTAATTCGGTGACGCTCATAACGCACTCCTAATTCAGTGACGCTCATAACGCACTCCTAATTCAGTGACGCTCATAACGCACTCCTAATTCAGTGACGCTCATAACGCACTCCTAATTCGGTGACGCTCAAAACGCACTCCTAATTCGGTGACGTTATTAACTCACTTTTTGTCCGGTAACGCTCCTATCTCACTCCTAATTCGGTGACGCTCATAACGCACTCCTAATTCAGTGACGCTCATAACGCACTCCTAATTCGGTGACGCTCATAACGCACTCCTAATTCTTTGTCGCTATTAACTCACTTTTTGTCCGGTAACGCTCCTAACTCAACAATATAATTAGTTCAAACTATTCAGCCACAGCAGCCGTCCAAATCGTATCAAACAACATTTTGTGCGTAATTTGCTAAACTTCAAGCAAAAAATCATGGCAAGAAAACTTACTACATTTACATTGAAAACATTACAGCGACAAGCTCGATCACCAGTCCCAAATTAATGATACAGAATTTAATTATCAACCATCAAGTAGCAAAAATGTGAAGCAATTGTGACACTCGACTTATAGAAGCATGAATCCAAAATAATCTGGAAATACGTAAAATGATTAGCAATGCAGCATTACTTAACTGTTTTTAAGAACATTTTATTTAAGAATTTCGTGGACTGTATTTACAATTTCGAGCTTTAGTGATTCCATATGATTCCAAGTCTATTCCATATGTTACCGATGATTAATAATAGTGATGGGCAGAAACGCGTCCGGATTTCAATGAAATTACTTCTAAATGTTACTTTATTAGACAGGTGTTGTCACTTCATTAGACAGGTGTTGTCACTTTATTAGACAGGTGTTGTGACTTTATTAGACAGGTGAATTAGACAGGTGTTGTCACTTTATTTGACAGGTGTTGTCACTTCATTAGACATGTGTTGTCACTTCATTAGACAGGTGTTTTCATTTTATTAGACAGGTTTTGCCGTGCGTTAGGATAACAATGCATGGTTCGTCGTCCAAATAATCTAATTGAAAAAAAGTTCCCAGTTGAGGAATCTAAATGATACATCGCTATCGATATCATTAGATGAACAATAATGCGTGCATATAATTAATGATAAGCATTAATGCGTGCATATAATTAGTGATAAGCATTAATGCGTGCATATAATTAGTGATAAGCATTAATGCGTGCATATAATTAGTGATAAGCATTAATGCTGTCTCTTATACACATCTAGATGTGTATAAGAGACAGAGCTCAGACTGATTCTGTGATTTTTCCGCGGACCAAAAAATTGACTATTGAAAATAAGTGAACGTNTTTATGTGCGGATCTCATTAATGATAAGCCTTTAAGTGCGGATCTCATTAATGATAAGCATTTATGTGCGGATTTCATTATTAATAAGCGTTTATATGAGAATTTGTATAGTAATAATCCTGTAATAAATGTTATTTATCCCATGAGGACAAGTCGACTTAAATAGGCAGAAGAATCTATTGGTTTCCTTTCATAAACAATGCAGCTTAGTAAAGATATTTAAATAATATATTCTAATCTATATGCATTTAAAGGATGTCAAGGCCCTGTGAAGACAGGCCGCCCCAACGCGTGTGCGATTCTAACTCTCATTTTTCTGCAGATATATAGAAATGATCCTTTAAATCTATTTAACTTCTGATGAAAATTTAGAGTTTTCTCTACCATTCTATACCTAATTTTTCTCGGAGAGTTTATATGATATGTTTAATGGTAGTCTGTCTATTATATTCATTACGATCGTTGGATTAAATATTTTTGAAGTAGATATATATAGGAAATATGAATTTGAAAGTGAAGGGACTTTAACTTCGGCATTAAATTAAAAAAAAAACAAATGTCTTAAGCGATATAATAGCACGCTTGAAACATGTCGAAAGTTCACGCTCCGCTTTTACCTAAGGAAGTTGTGGTAAAGCCTAGGAGTACAAAATAAAAAGGAAGGCCTATGAAACTTATTTGAGTCAGCCTTGAGAGCTGGACTACACCCAACAAGGGGGAGGTAGAGGGGGTTGAGGAAACTGTGGGGGCGTGGGGGTTGAGGCCAGTAAGGAAAGAGTATATAAAGGGTGAGGGCAAAGCGAGGGCATCAGTAACTACTGAACAGCAATACGACATGGCTGCCTTCAAGGTACGTGGATCGTCTAAACTACCAAGCCACCTTAATATCTACCACTGAATAAAATTATTTTTTAGACACGTACAATTTTTTCACTCAGCTTAATCGTACCTTCTTAATGAGGTATAATCTCATGTACCTATACTACCCTCTCGACACACAATATTTTAACAGTACCTGTACCCTACCCCCTTAATGAGGTATAATCTCAGTACCTATACTACCCTCTCGACACACAATATTTTATCAGTACCTGTACCCTCGCCATATGATTATTTTATCTAATGATAGCAGGTTAACGAGGCGTTGCACGGCATAGATAATCTCTAAACTTTAAAACACCATGAAATACCATTACCCACATATTTTCATTCAGAATCCGGTCATTCCGAATACTATCATACGGGAAATCTTCCCCAATTCCGTGTTCATTTCATAATTTCGAGATTATCGAATGTTATCTTTCATCATTGAATCTGATTTCAATTTCACAATTCCTCTTCTCTTCTCAGTTTTAAAATGCCAAACTATTTTCAAATTAAGCATAACATTTCAGGTCCAGGTAATATCACGACACGATAAATATTCTGGATAGTCGCCCCAACAGCCCCTATATATTTGCAATAGGCTTCAACCACTAACACAGATACAAACAAGTTTGACAATTATTAAATAGATCATCACGGCATCCACAAAGATCCATAGCTTGTAGGCTGATAACCGATGCATGCTCTATAGCTTCAACTTCAAATTGATAAATCTTGATGTCAGCTTTTGATTGATACATAACGGACTCACGCAATGTATCGAAATGGCTAGGCATTAGCTCCAGACTAATGGAGCTAATCAGATGGATCAATTAATGGTTGTCACTCACTGCAGACCTCTCGAGTACGATACCTTGCACGATACCATTATGAAAAAATGGATAATAATTGAAAACCGTTCGGCTAGAATTAGCGCCCAGCAAAATTTAAACGTTCAATCGAAATGTACATTCTGTGGAATCAAGTACGTCGTAAGAGTAAGGGTATGTACACATAATTGTTTATAATATGTATCCGTCAATATAACATGAATAGTGACGGTTAACACTCTTATTAATTATCAGTATAGAACCATATATTGAAAGCTTACATTTTGTAGGACGCCAGATTTGTTTGGTAGGTTGGTATCATCGAACGTCTATCATATTGAATTTTATTTAAAATATTATCTAATGACATAGGAAATTCTTTTACTAAATCGTTGCCCAACTACCGACTCATTTTTGGTCACTGTCTCATTCAAATATGCCTCAATTCCATCCAAATTCATTTCGAAATGTTCTCACGATAGATTAGCAAAATATAAAGTTAAGAGTTTAGCGCATTCCTCAGAAGCCGGACACTCGCCTCTCTACTTGCTCCGAATTTCATTCCCGACTTTCATCAATTTTTATGACAACCTTGACACTTGAGCCATTCGACACTCCCAGACACTTTCACAAGCGCTCCTCACTAGCACTCTTCATTAGTGCTCTTCACCAGCACTCTTCACAAGCACTATCCACTGGCGTCTTTCACTAGCGCTCTTTACTTCCTTTTAACTTCGAACTTAACCCCTCGCCAGATCGCCCTTGTGCTCGCCCTCGCGGTGGCTTGCGCTCTCGCCGACGAGCGCCCGCGCTACACAGCCCCAGCCCCTCGCCCCTCCTACGAAGCCCCTCGTCCCTCATACTCCGCCCCTCGTCCTGCCGAGCGCTCGGAGGAGGAATACGACGAAGCCAAGTACGAGTTCGAGTGGAAGGTTGACGAGGACGGCAACAACTTTGGCCAGTCAGAGTCTCGTGACGGTGATGAGACGAAGGGTTCGTACGTCGTCGACCTTCCCGACGGTCGCCGCCAGACCGTGACGTACTCCGTCGACGGTGACTCAGGGTTCGTCGCCGAAGTGTCCTACGAAGGAGAGGCTCAGTACCAGGAGGAGTCTGAGGAGCAGAGGTACGAGGCCCCTCGTCCAGCTTACGAAGCACCTCGTCCTTCATACCAGGCACCTCGTCGCGGGTAGTGGAACTAATGTAACATACAATGTCTACCAGAACCTGACTACCAGCCTACTTGTACATAAACAACAGTACCTCTGAGCCCTATGTAATTTATTGTCTTTCATAAACTGCAACGCATACCTTGTGTTCATTTGCATCCTTTAATACTAACCAACCGATCGCAACTGCATTTTTGAAAGAAACGCTGGTAAATGTAATGAAGATAATAATAATATCTTCACAGATAATGATAATTCAAAATAACTGCTCACTATTAGATCCTTTATGGGGACGGGGGTTTCCAAACTTTTTTCACCAAGGGCCAAGAGCAAGCCGACGTAAGGCAATCGCCATGAATGGGAGAGTTCAAATTATGATAGTTGGTAACGAACTTTGAGAAGCCCAAATGAATTAAAGCAATGTTTCAATTTGCGAGTTAAAGAATGATTCAACTTAATAATAATCCATTTCAAGTCCTGAGAGAGGTAAGCCTGCGGCACGAAATGCGTGAGATTTAGGAACTATTAAACAGAGTAGAATTTTGCAGTTCGTGTTATTGAAATCTGGTTTCAAACGTCAGACACGATGGTTCAGTAGCTTTAATTTTCAACAAAAAAGAAATTTCAATTTAAAACGCTCCAGCATTGATTAATTATCTTTACGAAATATTCGTTCAAATTTGCTCAGTTCTATGGATTGAACTCCCCCATTGGTTAGGCCAAAGGAACTATCTTATAAGAAAGTGGGAAAAAAATCCGATTCGATAGAGAATGCGCAATGCAGTTAGATCAAGAACATTTAATTTATTGACCTAAAGCTGATTGATAATTAAATAAGTTATGTATAGGTAAATCTGTAAAATTAATTGACCAATCCTTTCAATTGAAAACGGAACGGTCAATGAAGCTTCATCATTGTATAATTGGAACAATTGCGAGTAATTGTAAATGTATGATATAATTACAGCCTATGTATTTAATTAATGTTAGGGAATTTAAAAATTGGAAGATTGAGATGCATTGACCTTGTAACTCCGGTAATTGTATAAACTTTATTTACTTGCCAATAGCCATTACCTGGCTCAGTTATTATGACGGCCGTCGTCAGTTAAATGACTATCCCTTAGGATATAAAAATTCATAATGCAGGAATAATTTATTATCATAAATAAAAGTTTGACGGAAGAAAAGACAAGTCAGTGTTGACGGTTCAAACCACATGAACTGGAGGCAAGATCCTGGTCATCAGACTTAAACTTGGCCTAACATGCATGAAAAGGGATGGATTTGGACCTAAACCGATGGATTCCTAAAAGGACCTGGGGCTACCATTGGGCTTTGAGTAACTCTGGATTTTTTAATGGGACCAAAAATTTAGTAAAAATGGCTTCCTAACTTTATCATAGTTTTGCCAGAGAAATCAAGCGAAACCTTGACATAATTTGGTATTACACTATATGTCACCGGATGGCAAGGGATTATAAGTTGATATATGTAGTGGTAGGAGGGAAATAATTTAGCTTCAAGTTATGTGGTCAGAAGTTGAAGTTGTCTTCCAGCGACTCGTGGGAGTGATGGGTGACAGGCTGGGAGAAACGGGTGACGGGCTGGGAGTGACGGATGACGGGCTGGGAGTGACGGGTGACAGGCTGGGAGTGACGAGCGACGGGCTGGGGCTGCCTCACAGCTGGCTCATAGTGGACCTTTGCAACGTAGCCAGACGGGCCGTCAACGTAGTACGTTACCACCTGGCGACGTCCGTCCGGCAGTTGGAACGAATATGAGCCTCGCGTTACGTCACCGTGACGGTTTTCCTGACGAGCGACGTGGTTATCTTCGACACTCACGTCCCAGCTCAAGTCGTACTTAACGTCTTCGTCTTCATACGACGAAAACACGTCATCATCATCGTCCAGTGACGGCTGGAAGCGTGACGGTAACGGTGACGACTGAAGCTGGAAGCGCGACGTGCTTCTGGTCTGTGCACTGTTCGGCAGACCGGCGACGAGGTTACGCTCGTCACTGTCGTCCCTCTGGACGACAAATCCCTCCCGGGGTCTGGGGAAGGTTGGGGCAGGGACGGTTGAGATAGGGACGGTTGAGACAGGGACGGTTGGGTCAGAGACGGTTGAGACAGGGAGGAGGATCGAAGGGGACGAACGGACGCGAGAAGGGGGCAATAAGGAGGGTCGATCAGCAAACACGCCAGTGACCACCGCCGCCAACACCAAAACCTGGGCAACCACGACATCATGTTGTATGCTTGTAATTTGGCCTACATCTTAGCAGTAGTAATCTTATATAATGTGCCTTAGTAGTAATCTTATATCAGTCGGAGATTCGCCCCAGGCACATTATCTAAGCTAATAATCTGAGGAACCAAGTGTCACTCACAACAGATACGCGCATGATTCAAGTGTCTTATGAACGGAAGCGAGTTAATGAATGACGTATATTTTAAAAGATTTGAACTCATAAATCATGAATAGTACGACTGCTAATAAGGTAATGAATGAGGTGAAGCTTCAACAGAGAAGATCTTGAATAAAGCTCTGCTCGAGACCAAAGGGCCTGGCCCATGCATTACGGGCAGTTTGGTTTTATTGTAAGTCCAGCGTATAGTGAGTCAATTCTATGAAACATGTGTAGTATAATGTTACAAAAATCCTGAATAAAGTACAATGTTAAAGAATTGCTGTTCACAGATCTGTAAACAACGTCTTCAAATGAAGCGTCGTTTACAGACTGCGGATAAGTCTGCGAATACAACAAAGTTTTCATCGAATAACTTTTTTCAATATTGTGATTTTAGCTCTCATATCAATATATGTATGTAGGTGAAGCACTTCAAAACAATGAATGAATTCAATACGTACTAAATTATCATCCTACGGAGGCGACACGTTCTAACCCTTGTTCATTATTTCTTACCTCAAACTTAATCATCCTGCAAAGTCTCAAGGTTGAGTACCAGGATATATCATTAAGTTCTCAAAATATGTCGTCCCAAAGTGTAGATTTTCGTAAATGTCCACTCACTATACAATATACCACGACGACTTTTCAGTGCGCAGTGGTGTTCGGAGTATCACAGTGCTTGCAGTTGGCACCCACACTCCCTTATATTCACCCGACTTAGTTTCCTCCTTAACTGTTTCGCCTTACGCAAGGTGGGCCTAGCCCTTGCCTTGCCCTTTTTGTTCAAGCAATAAACGGACATCCTAGCCATTACCGGACGCAACACTGTTCCGGACGAGTCATGGCGTCGTTCCGATCTGTTACGATGCGTGACGTGATGACGATGCCCTGAGATTGCGGAGCCTTTGAATGCTTCCGCAATGTCCGAACCTTGTCTTTGCTTAAGTAGGACCTCTAATTGTTCGACAATAATTATTATCATTATTTATCTCTGCATCAAGTGTCTACTAAATTTATCAGGTGCATCAGGTGCAAATTTGCAACCTGTACCCCTCCACCCGTAAATAAATAAGATAAATCTTACCATCTAAGCAGAACCCTGTTACAGTGTTCAGGCATAATGTAATTAGGATCTCACGCTGCTTCAAACTTCAGTTCCTGCCTACTAACTTGGGCTCAGTTAACATCGCAAATTGGACCGAAATTATAGTTAATCTGAATATTATGAATCTAATATTACCAGCTTCTGTAACCACAAGTTTGATCAAACACGTGGCCACACGTGACCACACGTGACCACACGTGACCACACGTGAACACACGTGACCACACGTGTCCGCAAGTGACCACACGTGACCACACGTGACCACACGTGACCACACGTGACCACACGTGACCACACGTGACAAAAATCTCTAACATTCTTGAAAATCACGAACATCACTCAAAAATCTCTAACATTCCTAAAAAGGCACGAGCATTCTTAAAAAATGACAAACATTCTTCAAAATCCCGAGCATTCTTGAAAAATTTCGAACATTCTTAAAAAGTGACGAACATTCTTCAAAAATGACGAGCATTCCTCAAAAATTTCGATGAATATTCTTCACAATACCTGTGATTAATGTCGACTTTAACAAGAGGTTGATCTACAACCTGCCAGCACTTTTGATTGAAATTCCTGCAATAATAAAGGAAAATATTAACTCATCACCAGAAAATCTAAGTTAATTATCTAAGCAGTCTAATGAAAAATAGCAACATTATTATGATGCACAGATTTCACCATTTGATCGTAGTACATCATTAGAAAAATAACCGTGTGCTTTTCATAACAAATCCGACTTTTAGAATAATGCAATTAGATCCCAGTTATAGGTAAAATCTTTGTCCATGTTGACGATGAGGTCAACGTCGATGACTCCTAATTACATCATCAAATTATAAGTTATTGAGTATCTAATTCGAGGTTGAATATAATATAATCATTTTTTCTGTAAGGCGACTTCAACGCTTTCTAAGTAGTGATCCTGATTCCTAACAAAAAATCTTGTTGGAACCATTAGCTCGGGGCGGTGGTTGTTCCGTTGATTCTTAATGTTATTTATAAAGGTGCATTTTTTTAATCAGCATCTATTAGGTGATCACATGCAACGAAATTCTTAATGAATAACGATTCTGCGTTATAACAGATATATAACGTTATATATAACATTATATTACGTTTTATATAATACTGGGCAGGGTGGCCCAGTGGTTAAAGTTCAGAGTACCAAGATTGGCGCAGAGAGGCGCGGGTTCGATCTCAGCTCTGTGCGCCAGTTTCTGGTCAGAATCGGCGAGGAGGCCGGGCGGTATGGAAAGATCGGGTTCCAAAGGCCGGATCCCTTGTGAATCAAGTCACGAAAAATTCAAGAATCGGCAACAGGCCATGGGCCTATTTCTTCAGTGCCGACACTTCTATTCAATTCTATTCTATTCTATTCTATTCTATTCTATTCTATTCTATCCTATTCGATTCTAATTGTCAGCGGAGATCGAATAGGTAGTTTTTAGAGATGTTAGCGCTCTCCGTTTTCTTCGAGAAGAAATTATAGAAGATGACTACAAGAGCATAAACTTTCTTATTTTGATAAGTTCTCATCAATCCATATTATTAATTAACCATCTAATTCTGAGATATGCAAGAGAAAAAAAAAAACGTACAAAATTCAAAGTTTTAATCCATCATATACCCATAGAAATTTCAAACGCTGTCAGCAATGCAAGGCATTATAACATTCAATTGAAAAATTACAGAGATGGATGGTATCAATTTAATGGTTAGGAATGCCAGAGCCAGAGTTATGACCCATTCATGGCAAATGAATGGGCCAGATTGTCCGAATAATGGCACACTTTCTAACCAACAGCTCGAGCAGAGAGCGAATCTAGAACTGAGACACTTTTTTACTGGGGAAAGTGTGTCAGAATGACACACACAGGCAACGAGCACACGGTACTTGCACAAAGTCTTACACATTTTTCTGAGAGCGCAGAGCATCGAAATCATTCCCAGGTTAAAGGAGTGCGTAGACCAAGGTTAAAATCATCGGAAATACCATTAAAGATAATGCCAGTAAAAAATAATCACTAAATTAAATCTCTATATAAAAGCATGTTTAAAATTGATTTAAATTAAGAAACTTCCGTTAGATAAAGGAGGATTGTCCACTAGGTGTCATAGGCGATCGAAGTCTAGTCGATTTATGTAAGTAGTTCCTTTATTTGGATGACTAACCTGATTGGATAAACTAATTTTTTTTAGTTGTAAATCATGATCTCAACATTTAAGCACGGTTTATGTCTTTCTATGTGTTTATGTTCAAAATAAATAATTTTACACATCTTGCTTACCACTTTCGCAATGCTACTTAATGCGCAATTATTTTCATTGCTGTAATATGTTGGTTTCACAGTAATTGATTCTAATATGAAAATTCGTAAAACCCGTGCATTGAAAATGCTTCACAACGATAACCGTTTACAATACAGATAATCATCATAGATCATGGATCATTGATGAATGCCCGGTGGTTAAAGTTCAGAGATTGGCGCAGAGAGGCGCGGGTTCGATCCCAGCTCTGTGCGCCAGTTTCTGGTCAGAATCGGCGAGGAGGCCGGGCGGAGCAGAATTGTAGCAGTGAGTTGCGAGTTCGAGACCGCAAAATGTTGCTAATGTTCTGCGATGTTAAGAATCGACGACAGGGCTACGGCCTAATAAACGCTGAAACAGCTATTATTATTATTATTTAATAGAACATCATGTCGTCCTCGAATATGAAGAAAACGTCGTCTAAAAACATAGTTAATAGAAAGCATCATAGATAAAATAAATAATAAATTAATCGTCAATAAGGGACTAAATTATATATCATTAATAAAATCTTTCAATAAAGTGAACATAATTAGAGAAATCATCATACTAAAAGTTAAACTTTCATCCTTTATAATTGTGAGTGATATATCTCGAGCTATTTTGCATCTTGTGACGATTTCTATCGCATATATTTGCAACATTCCATTTACAACCATCTGAAGACACTACTTTTCTTAGCTTAAAGTACATATGTCATTTCATTTTCTTTAGATGATTTATTCAGTTTAACTAAAATATTCATTATATAGAACGGACGCCTAAAAACGATCACATGGACATGACCGTTGTTTGCTCGGAAGACTAAAAACAGTTTTTGACATAGACATGAACTGAAATAAAATAGGCAGGAGCGAGAACATTATTAGGTTATACAGTAAACTGAAGAAAAGTAGGGTCTAAAAATATTATGAAAAGAAAATTTCGTTAACTAAATTAATCATTTAAAAGTATGAAATGAAATACTTTAAGCTATGAACAGAGGTAATATATCAAATGCCCTAACAAATTTTGGAGACGGTGGTGACCCTGCTTTAGGTGCCGCCCTGGGCTCGTGGAGAACGTAAATCAGCTTCTCTATGTCCACTTCGGCTCAGGGTATGAATGACAGCCTCTGGGAAGCTTGCTAGCCCGGTATGATTGGACTCGGCCAACCCTTGTTGCACTCTAAATTTTGTTAGGGTATAAAGTCGGAAAAGAGATTCTGACCAGAAACTGATTTCGATCCGATGGCCAAGCAGACCCAGAATAACTTGGCGCCGAGTGTAGTGACTATTCGGCCAAAGCATAGGCGGCCTTCGAATTTGAATAGGGTGGTTGAGAATTGAAGTAGTGGAAACGGTGAATGGAAAGAACCGAAAAATTAAGGAGATAAAAAGGAATGAACTGATATATAAGAATTAGAAATTTCTGAGAATTGTGAATTTCAGAAAATTGTACATTTCTGAGGATTGTATATTATTTCAATCATGTGTGGGATAATTGTAGTTGGATGGTGAGCAAAAATCAATGGCCATTAAGGACAAACTGAATACAAACCCACGAATACAATTTTGGGTAAAAACGTAACTTTCTAAAACAAAATGAACAAAGTGCCCAACAAGAAGCTCATACCTCACACGAAATGGAAAAAGAAAGGATTTAATTTGCTCATTGTCTCAGATCACGAACTCACAAACGCGAATTGACATTAAAAGAAGAAATTAAACAAAATGAGGACACATATATGGGAAGCGCGGCGACAGAGGGAGAAGTGCGTTACACGGCGACAGAGGGAGCAACGCGTTACACGGCGACAGAGGGAGCAACGCGCTACACGGCGACAGAGGGAGCAACGCGCTACACGGCGACAGAAACTGAGGGAAAAGCGCGCTATGCGTACAATATAATACATGTACAACATCAAAACTGTAAAAATTGTAATCATCGCAATCAAAATTGCAATCAAAACTGCTTTCATCGTGAGCTCTACAACGCATTCGTGAGAATGTAAATCCAAATCCAGAAAAATGGATCATTGGTGTTGAGGTTACGAGGGAAGATGAGTAAATTGATGAACAGGGCGAGGGAAGGAAGAGTGCGACGAGGGCACAAAGACCAGTGCTGTGATAGGTCCGTTTTTTCCTCGCAAGTACCCTCCCCTCATCTTCTCGCACCCTCTCCTCCTATTTCTCACCACATGGCATTAAGATGAACAAAGGAACGCGTTAAGGTCACACCCGACACGTCGCTATCACGTTAACGACACGACTACAACGAAATAACGACGTCACAACAATAACACTAATAACTACTGTCATGGTGCTTCTTACTCTCTGGCCTTGTAGACGTGATGAGGTGATTGAGTGACATGCTTCCTTGAAGATCACCGTGAGATCTACAGCGAGATCTGGGACCAGGGTGATCTTGGTGGTATATTGAGTTGAGGTGTGAAGTGGGGAACCATGGGGAACTGGAGGATAAAATTGAAATGGAGGGCTACAATTAAATAGTGGTGCAAAGTGGAACTGGGTGACAAAAGTGAAATGGAGGGTCACAATTAAACAGTCCATGGAGCAAAGTGAAACTGGAGGAACATAATTGAAACGGAGGGGCACAATTAAATAGTGGAGCAAAGTGGAACTGGAGGACAAAATTTAAATGGAGGGGCACAATTAAACAGTCCATGGAGTAAAGTGAAACCGGAGGAACATAATTGAAATGGAGGGGCACAATTAAACAGTGGAGCGAAGTGGAACTGGAGGACAAAATTGAAATGGAGGGCCACAATTAAATAGTGGTGAAAATGGAACTGGAGGAACATAATTGAAATGGAGGGGCACAATTAAATAGTGAAGCAAAATGGAACTGAAGGACAAAATTGAAATGGAGGGCCACTATTAAATAGTGGAGCAAAGTGGAACTGTAAGTCAAAATTAAAATGAAGGAGCACAATTAAACAGTGGAGCATAATTAATGGGAATGGAGGACATAAACCAACAATATCGAAGAGGAACGAGTTACCAGTTGAAGCAAGCAGCAATGAAATAACAAAATAGAACTGAAAATAACTGCGAAAGTATTTTATTTGTTGGTACCATGTTGAATAGCGCCGGAATATAAGAAAATTTCATATTTTTTACAGATATTAGCAGTGTGCACCATGCAGTAGAAACGTTACATTAATTAATACGTTATCTCGATTAACACGTGCAGGTTATACGTTATACAAGTTTCTACGAAATACGATTATTATATGTAACGCTATACATCGTAAACTGCAGGTGATAATTTCCTCTACTCAATAGCGGAACGTTCAAGAACAAAAAAAAATTGAACCAAGGAACGTTCTTTAACAAAGAACTAAGATGAAAGGATAATTAATGATGAATTTCTTTAACACCGTTTAAGCGACTTATAAATCGCTCATTCACTCGAAAAATGTTCAATATAAAAGCATAACTTATTAAGGAGAACTAATGAACAGAACAGATTACTGCACCCGTTGATGAGTTATATTAGGCTATACGGAAAATTTATTATTTAAATAAGTTGTATCAATTAAGACGTTGCACCTGTTGATGCGTTACATGAGATAATTCGTTGTACAATTTTGTACATTAAATGAGTTTAATAAAGTGCATGAGTTTACACATAACACTCAATTGGAGCGTTCTGTTAGTTAATATTTTACGATACTACATAAGTTATTTTCAAATAGTTTTTTGTTTGTGCATCACCTTGCCTTGTATTTAGTTGACACGGAGCCCGCCTTGTAAATTCCCCACCTCCCACCCGTGACCCCGGAAGGACGGGGTCTGTGAAGGGCGGTTGCTTGAGTACCGTCTCCCCCTCCTCCCCAACGCGTTTGGAGGGAAATCCTCACCCCCACCCCTGCATTTATTACTGAGGATTGGTGAACCCCAATCCACTCCCCCAATCATGACAATATATATAAGAAGCGTATTTAAGGGACAAGGTATTACCACCCCACTGCATCCCCTAGTACCCAGATTTATATAGGGCGGAGGTCAACCCCCCCCCTTGTTCCCCCGCGCTGCCACGTATATAAGGCAGGATGCAGTCGTGACCCCGCATTGAGACGTCAGAGGTCGCCGTACACGCACGTGCCCACCTCCTCCCCTAACTCACAACCGAACGAAACTTGCGATCAACTCTTCACTATGAACCCAATGGTGAGTGAACCGGAGTTGCATGTGAGTCATCTCATCAATAATTAATGCTACTCGTGTTTCTTAACAAATATATCACGCGGATTACCCTCTTTGTTTGAATACGAGAGTGATCTTGCTGCCCTCGTTCGGGTTAGAGGGATCGCGTGAGCTCGTGAAACACATGTAAATTCGTCATGGACTTTCCGAATCTATGTAGATCAGTCGCGTCAGGACTGAAATATGCAAACCTGTGCTGGACTGGTGAGCTAAACGTGGCCCAGATCTCTGGCATGTGGCGTAATGTGGTCTAGAACTCCGGCATGTGGCGTAACGTGGTCCAGATCTCGGGCATGTGGTAAAATGTGGCGCAGTGAAGCGTGAACTTTATTGAGAAAGGTTATGCAGGAATAGGCACCAACTCGAAGAAGAGGAAGATTTGCTGTGTAAGTGATACTTTTGTGATGATGGTGGCAGATTTGTGGTGAAGAAAATTTTACAGTGGAAGTGGAACAAATAACAAAGGAATTAGATGATTTATGGTGTCAATGAAAGATTTGTGACTATGATACATATAAAGCCACTTGCAGAGGTGAAAGAATATAAATCCCACGAAAGGCTTTAGTGGCTAGATTTGTCTACCGATCAACTGATCTTTGACAATATCTCCAGATAAAACAAAATCGAGAATTCAGGAGCACGATGAACGATCATTACTTATTATCAGTTATAATTTTATATTATAATAATTGTATTAATGTTAGAATTACTTTTTAGGCCGTATTTTCTACATGATGGGTGCTTTTCTTCTCTATGTTGTTTACTGTACGACGCATTCTTGGTGTGTGTTCTATAAGATGACTGCCATTGATTCTACGTGTGTGAGCTTGTATTCTTTTCGTGTTTTGCTGTCTCCAAAATGTATGCATTTGAAATAAAAGTCTTTAATTTGTGTTCTTTCTTTAGAACGCATGCAAACGACATTCCCTGTTTTAGTATGGAACGCATCTGTTGTGTGTTCTAGGTTTAATGCGTCGAAAATCGACTCGTCATATAAACTAGACAATATAAACGCGTTTGGAGTTACGTTATTATTAAAACTCTGCATCAAGGCGCTCAGCCGCGTTAGTCGCTAATGGAGTTTTATAACTATTACTAGGTCCAATAACTCCCCTCATAAATAAGATATAAGTCTGAAATTTGGAATGCTATCCTGGTTAACTATTTTCAATACGTAGACATTAAGATAAATTATGTAAATTTTTTATTTCAACTGTTATCAAGGAGGATGAAATCTTGCACCCCGGCCCAGTGTGCCGAGTTTAGAGTTGGAGCGTCGCTGAACGGGCCTCTTAATGGTTCCATTTTGAGTTGTGCGTACTTGACATGATGCACTTTGTATTGGATGATTTTGAGCGATGGTAAATTATGTTGTGTGCTCTAGGAGAGACGTATTACGTATTGAATTCTCAGGATATGTGTTTTCTGGTGTTGCATGACGTACAATTGAAGATGTTGAGTAGAAATTCTCCGTATGATTCATGTTAATTGTTTTTAGATTCTACAAAGTGTAAGTCTTTTGTATGATCTAAGAAATACTTATTTTGTGTTAATTGCGTTCCAATGAGCGAGTCTCAGGTAGTGTGTTATAGATTGATCAATTTTACGTCTTTGGATCCGTTATTCTATCGTGGATGAGTGTTGTGCCATGTTCTGGGATGGATGCATTTTTTATTTTTTTTAAAGATTGAATACGGTTTGGATTGCTTGTTATAGGTTGGATGTGTTTTGGTTTACCTGCGATATGTAGAACGTAAATCGGATGAAAGCGTTCGCGTCAAATTTTATCTTGGTCAAATGCATTTTCCGTCCAACTTTCTAAGATAGAACTTAAGGTGTGAGTTGTATGGACACAATTTTGCTGTGCATTGATATATTAAAATATTGTGTGTATTTTTTAATAGTTGTGTGTGTTTCTGGGATGGCGCATTAGATATTATGTGCTTAGAATGGATTCATTGTGTCTTTTTATTTAAAGAATTTGTGTTGATGGTTCTAAGATGGACGCATTTTGGGAATGTCTTCATGTGTGAACATATTCTCGCTTGTGATCGTAGGCTTTAGGACAGTGGTTCCCTAAATGTGGTAGGTGCGTCATTAATGATATGCGAGTTCACTGCAGTTAGAATGAGAACATCTTCAGGTTCTGAACAAATTTTAGTCATACATGTTAAGTCAAATAAATCTTACAAAAACTCCTGAAGTAAAAAACCTTATTATATATATAATTATATATCAAAGAAATAATATCATATAATGATATATTATATAATATATAAAATTAGAAAAATATAATTTTACTTCAAAATAATCTTCGCTGCCACGACTAGATTATTTATAATAGGCAACTAATACTATTAGTTACCTGGTAATCTTTATTATAAGTATACAGGACGCGTTAGTTAGCTGTTGCCTCGCCGCTCAAGTGCTACTCAAGTGGTACTCAAGTGGTACTCAAGTTGTACTCAAGTGCTACTCAAGTGGTACTCCAGTGGTACTCAAGCGGTACTCAAGCGATACTCAAGTGGTACTCAAGTGCTACTCAAGCGGTACTCAAGCCACAGTCAAGTGGTACTCAATTGCTACTCAAGTGGTACTCAAGCGGTACTCAACTGGTACTCAAGTGGAGCTCAAGCGGTACTCAAGTGGAACTCAAGTGCTATTCAAGCGGTACTCAAGTGGTGCTCAAGTGGTACTCAAGTGCCACTCAAGCGGTACTCAAGTGGTGCTCAAATTGTGCTCAAGTGGTACTCAAGTGCTACTCAAGCGGTACTCAAGTGGTACTTAAGTGGTACTCAAGTGCTACTCAAGTGGTACTCAAGTGCAACTCAAGCGGTACTCAAGTGGTGCTCAAGTGCTACTCAAGTGGTATTCAAGCGGTACTCAATTGGTGCTCAAGTGGTACTCAAGAGGTACTTAAGTGGTACTCGAGTGGTACTCAAGCGGTACTCAAGTGGTACTCAAGTGGTACTCAGGTTGCGCTCAAGTGGTACTCAAGTGGGGCTCAAGTGGTACTCAAGTGGAGCTCAAGTGATGCTCAAAGTGTATTCAAGTGCTACTGAAGTGGTTCTCAAGTGGTGCTCAAGTTGTCCTGAAGTGCTACTCAAGTTGTTCTTAAGTGCTACTCAACTGGTATTTAAATGGTACTCAAATTGTACTCAAGTGATACTCAAGTGGTGCTAAGGGTACTCAAGTTGTACTCAAGTGGTGCTCAAGTTATACTCAAGAGGTACTTAAGTGGTACTCAAGTGGCACTCAAGTGGTACTCAATTGCAAAAAAATAACTAAAGAAACAATTTTATAATGAATGCTTTTGAGTCTTGCGTGTTATTGTGTTGACGTGTATTGCATCTTCACTGATAAGATTTATGCATTAAATATGTCTCAGGTTTCATATTTTTAAAACGTTTCGCACCTTGGTTACGCAGAACCTGAGCCGCAGCTGGTTGCTGCTGCTGCCGCTGGTGCTGACAGTGGCAGCTGACACGAGACCTTACGCCGCTGCAAACTCCCAGAGGGTGAGTCATGGTGTCAGCCCTGACACACAGCTTTTTAGCGCATTTTCTCATTTATGGAAAAAATGCACTATTGTGCTCGCCATTTCCGTCCGTCTGTCCGTCTGTCCGTGACCTCAAGTTTTCGTCGACGAGAAAATGCGCTCTCTGTCACTAACTGCAGTGAGTACTGAGTTATATTTTTTAGCATTGGCTTTCATTTTTATCCTTTTCTTAACCCAAGTTCACTTTCCTCAATAATTATGTTGATAATCTGAATAATCATCATCTTTGAATCCAGTCCCCACGTATCCCCCTGATCCATCCCCCACGTGTCCCTCGTATATACCCTTCAATTCCCCCGTTTAACCCCCAAGATACCCTTCAATCCCCCCGTTTAACCCCCAACCTACACGGTTATCAACCCCAACTTATGTAGCTCATGAACATCCGCTTACCACATTTGCCAGGCCATCACATTCGCACGTTTAAACCTCATCCTCCTCCCCCGACCCACTCTCAGCTCACCTGTGCTACGTTTTTCAACACTTTCAACACAACCTGTACTTCAACACACACAATTTTAACTAGCCCTCCTCCCCCTACCTAAAAAACAGTCTTAACACCCCTCCCCCGACCCACTCTCAGCTCACCTGTGCTACGTTTTTCAACACTTTCAACACAACCTGTACTTCAACACATGCAATTTTAACTAGCCCTCCTCCCCCTACCTAAAAAACAGTCTTAACACCCCTCCCCTCCCCGTAGGCCTATAGGGTGGAATCTTTCCAGCAGAAATTGCACGCACGTATACCCAATTCAACTCACACGTTGTTTGCACCACAATTACACCTCAATTGAGGTGAGTTTGCGCGGTAATTACGTGGTAATCGCCTTGCAATTGTGCGGTAATTATAGGGTAATTTCCTGGTAATTTGCCAATGGAGGGGTAATTTCTTCCGACGTTCCGAGGCGCCCTTTTCGAACATCTGCGGAGGGTGCGGACCACTTCACTTTCTACAGCTGTAAATGTCAGCTGTCGCAGCGACGGGGCAGTGCCATTATCAATACAATAAAATCAACTGTTATATTATATGAATAAATTAGGCCACAATAGCATTTCTGGCACAATGTGCGATAAAATAAATAAACAAGGTTATCATAATAGTCTACCATTACTGATGCAACATGATTAAAGTATAATCAAATATCATTAGGTTATCCAGATGAAGTGTCCACTTTATCGGCTTATACTACGGAGAGACGTATCATTCTTCTGAAATGTCCATTGATTATATTTATTGACCAGCATTTGCTTTGATTATTGCTGTAGACTTGAATAGTGGATATTTAAATTCTGTTAGAACGATTACGCATGCGAAAGGAGACAGGAACTGAGAAGTAACTTTCAACATTTAATTTGTGTTGTTTAAATGAAGAAAAACAAGAACTGCTGTCGAGGAAATGGCGCAGCAGATACACTTATTCATGAACAAAGGTAATAAATAGTAAATGAGCGATACCGATGGCATTTCAAGTGTGCATTTCAGGCATTAATTTTAAAATAGCAAAGCTTGTGGCAAAGGCTGATGAGAAATAAACTTGCCAAGAGGAAAAATAGTTTCTTCAATGATAATAAAGTAGTCCTGGTAGCGAATTTTATTATGCATCTGACGCGACCGTTGCATATGAGTGAAACTGTCGAGAAAATAATAATAGTATCTGAGCCATGATGTCTTGAATTCTAAATAAACTTGTAATTCTTAGTGGGAGCCCCCGAAAACTATTGCAAAAAAGGGGCGTTCACACTTCATTGAAGTTGAAATGAACGTGGGCTCGTGGAATTCAGAATGACTCAGCAGAATTTCTGTGAAATGAATGACGGTTCACCGACGCCCACCGCGGCCTTGACCGTGCTATGCTGGCAGTGTCAGCTCCTGATAGAAACTCCTGGCAGTGTCAGCATTTGTCAGAAACTCCTGGTAGGGTCAGCTCCTGCTTGTGCCAGCTCTTGACAGGACCTCCTAGAAGTGTCAACTCTTGGCAATGTCAGCTCCTGGCAATGCCAGCCGGCAAAGTCAGCTTCTGACAAGGTCTCCTAACAGTGTCAGCTCCTGGCAATGCCAGCCGGCAAAGTCAGCTTCTGACAAGGTCTCCTAGCAGTGTCAGCTCCTGGCAGTGTCAGCTCTTGGCAATACCAGCTCCTGGCATGCCAGCTGGCAAAGTCAGCTTCTGACAAGGTCTCCTAGCAGTGTCAGCTCCCGGCAGTGTCAGCTGGCAAAGTCAGCTTCTGACAGAGTCTCCTAACAGTGTCAGCTCCTGGCAGGACCTCTTGTCAGCGTCTTCTGGCACTGACAAATCCTGACAGGAGCAGTTCTAGGCCTACACAGAGCCTGAATCTGGAAACACGTACAAGAGATAACCACAGAAATAAGGACTAGCGATCAAATTTAAGTAACCGGAAAAAATTACATGCACCGAAGAGATTAACGATTAATTGCTTCAATCAACGATTATCTTTGAAATCTTTAGCGCCGTAGAAGCTGCGAACCCTAACGCATATATAACAGCAGCGTCCGCAGCGTTAGCGTCACCCCCTCCCTCCTCACCTCTTCCCTCCTCACCCACCTACCTCCTCACCCCCTCCCTCCTCACCCCCTCCCTCCTCACCCATTTTCAGCACCGCAGGGCAATTTCGTTGCAATTTTCTTGGTCTTTGGTCGCCACGACGCTGCAGAAAAACTGGGAATTTCTTCCAATTTCAGTGGACGGCGGCCAGCAGCTACCAGGGCGCAGTGACCTGTTGTGGCAACTGTCCAATGCGGTGAAAACCTGACTGTGTTACCAGTTAAACCATGCGCCAGTGAACAGTTTATAGGAAATCGCATTAAGCTTCTCATGATCGAATCTGACCCGTTCACTGTTTATACTGCATACACTGTTTCCACTGCATGTACTATTTACACTGCATGCACTGTTTACACTGCATGCACTTTTTACACTGCATGCACTGTTTACACTGCATGCACTGTTTACACTGCATGCAATGTTTACACTGCATGCACTATTTACACTGCATACACTGTTATACTTGTCTGAATTTTGCAGTACAGTTAATATCCAACACTGATCGAATGATTTATGATCAACACAATGTCATTAATCGTCGTACCTTAATTATGATCATCAGCCCAGTCAATTCGCTATCTTATCACAAATTGCCGCCGTCAACTTAAGAGCATCTATACAAATTAAATTAAAGACAAAGGTTAAGATATAAATGTTTATGAGTTAACAAGAAGTGTTACTGCAATTAGAAGAGGAAGATGTCTAATGTCGTGTCACGGTTAAAGGTTAACTGTAAGCCTTGAACTTTTCGGGAAGTTTGCCCTCATGTTTGGGTATACTCGAGTAGCTGTACACGCATCGCTCACCACGTATAATTTTTATCTGATATAGAGCCGGAGGTATAACTATAAACTTTATGTTTTTGAAAACTTTGTCGCTAATGAATTATTAATGTATAACAATAAAGCGAGAAGTATATATTGTTGGATACGTGTCGTTAATGAATTGTTAATTTTCAAACGCACATTCATACTTGTTATCTTGAAATTTTAAAAGTTATTGATTTAGGAACTAGAATTGAGTTCAATGATTTTACTAGTAAATGCTCATTTTCTAGTCAATTTTCGAGAGTGAGGTCGTTTTTAGTTTGTTAAAATTTGAAAATCAAAATATCGAAAATATATTGATTTTTCGGGAGCTATGAATTTTATTGATAAAGTGGCTGAATTGAAATTAATGTACAAAAAATTATTGTGCACCGTCATTTTCTTTCGAAGGACATAAAACAATAATGCCTGAAGGAATAACCAATTGAGGTGATGTACCTATTGTCGTTTGCAATGATTGTCTTATGATAGAAAAAAGTTTTCCCCATATCTGAGCCAGCAGCATTTATATAGTTATATGCTTATAAATTTAGCTGTCTGAAAAGCCGTACTGAGATTCAATCATCTTAAATAAGCTGGTAATTACATAGAACTATATTCTTATTAATGTAAATGTTTCAAATATTCAGATTATTCATGATGTTTACCAACAAATTTCGTATAAATCCCCCAGGCCGACGATCAGTTTGAGGAGGCCAAGTACGACTTCGCGTGGGGGGTCAAAGACGACGAGTCCGGAAATATGTTCAACCAAGTGGAAACCCGCGACGCAGACGTCACCAGGGGCGCCTACTATGTAGCCCTGCCCGACGGGCGTCTCCAGAAGGTGAGTGGGGCGAGGGGCACGACGCTAGGTCTTGGCGCATGGCGCCATTAAGACAAAAGACGTCACATTACCTCAGTCTAGTACACTTAACTACCTTCATACCCCAGGTTAAGTATCATGTAGAGTGTAGACAGAGACTCCAGTATTGCAACCTGAAACTACATTTCTTACCCCCATAGTAGGTACAAAGTGGAGGGGGGCTCGTTTATAGCAACCTAAACCCCCTGCTGTCCCAACGTACGTAGGTACTAATACTTGTACAAGGACTCTAGGGCATTCGTTATAGAAATCCCAACTAGGGCTGACAGATGGCCTTTTGACCGCGGACAAAAAAGGCCTTCAACTCAATATATAGTAGTATATTTGTAGGTTCCGGTATAAAAATCTCATTTTTCTTTTTTTTTTTGCACTTTTTAAAATTTAGTAAGTGGCGCTAGCATAAATTTCACCAGGGCAATTTGTTCGAAAAAAAAAACCATCTGGCAACCCAGATCCCAACCCTCATTTCATACTCCCCAGGTTACGTACTACGTTGACGGAGACTCTGGCTTCGTAGCGGAGGTGACGTACGAAGGGGAAGCTCAATTCCCCCAGCCTGGTGAGCACCAGCAGCAAAGCTACGCACCACAATACAGCTAATGCAGCGGTGCAGTGGTGGTGCCCAACAGTACTGGGACCGTTCTTTCCAAATTTGCTTGAGTGCACGTTCTTGTTTGTGGTGGAGAGTTTAGTTTGAGAAGCTATCTATGATTGGCTGACGTAACTATGAACTCTTGGCCACTTTTGGTAGTACGGCCCCTGTTGATTTACGGTACAGTATTGCAGCACTGAAGTGAGACAAAATGCTGTGTTGCAATAGTGCACACAATATTAAGCTGTACTGTGATGGTGTACTGGGTGCCCACTCTTTCCCCCGCTCTCGACATACCAAATTATCATTTAAGGCAGCGAGTAAAATCTTCTTCAAATGCGCGTATCATTTATACCTCTATCGTGATCTTAATAAAGTAATTGCATAGGGGGCTTTGTAAAGAAGAAAAATTATCGGAGTCTTTTTATCGCCTGCCCAAGTCTAGTTAAATGAAATGCGTTTAGGCGAAGTAAATTCTATCTTGAGTAAAGATGAAGTTTCGAGGAAAATATTACGATGGGATTTTGACAATTATTGAAAGTGTATGAATTCAAGACCTAGCTGGTGGTGGGTAGATTTTTTAAGCCAAGTATGATTTGCCTTCAGCCTCACCACATCGCCACCGTAGAACATAGACTTGCGGCCTCGTTATTTGCAAGCTATATAACCACAAAGCGGCATACGGCCTCACCGAGTCAGAATAAGCTCTCGGAACACTTAATTAAGACCTCGTCATCTAAGGATACAATCCCCAAACAACCACCACACAGCATGTCCTCAGGGATTAAATTTAACTTTAACCAAAATATCAAATCCTCAGGGATTAAATTTAATTTAAAATAGAAAATCAAATCAATTAATCAATATTACAAGTCCCATATCGTCCATCGCTCTTTAATATATCACCTTCATCCAATGCCGTGGGTTAGCATCAAGCAAATAGTGACATCAAATGTTAACATGATTGTTCTTTTTCAAACGATAGTTTTAATTAAATTTTCAATTAGTACTACGCATTATAATTCAATTGATTGAACATCAAATGGACGATGAGACATATCACATGGCAACCATTTGATTTGATGGAATATCCCATGACATTTAACTTCAGGGCAGCCAACAATGCGAAAGTCTGTGTTTATTCAATTGATGTATCGCACTCTGCTGGAATTGTTAATTAATTTAATTATTTTATTTCGGTTAAGCATGTTCCCAAATCGTCTGCAGTGTGCATACAAGAGTTAATGAATTGTAAACAATCATGCGCAACGTATGCCATGTTTATGTTTCCATATTTCCATTCTAGCCAGTGAGGTCTAAAACAATAAGTCAAAACGAAAAAAGGGCAACCAAAAGTGCAAAGAAACACCAAGAGTGATCGTTAATCCATGTTAGGAAGTTTGATGAAACTTATAAACAATTTAAGCCGTCCATTATTTCTGCTAAAATTGGTCTTTTTGAGTTTGTCGACAAGAAAGAAGATAATAAGGAAGCCCTCAACAGTAACATTTTTAGAAGACTTTTTTTTTCTATTACAAAAATTTTATTTTATGTATTTTTTCAATTCAACATACCGCTGATACCTCGGCGCAGCATCGCTGTCAACATCCACGTCCCTGCAGCGTAGGAAATAATGTCTATCTTTACTGTCTTAATGAATACATTCTTTAGAAAAAACGAATTTATTCTTTAGAAAAGACGAATATATTCTTTGGAAAAAAACGAATTCATTCTTTAGAAAAAACGAATTCATTCTTTAAAAATGACGAATACATTCTTCTTAATGAAAACATCCAACATTAAAGCTGTAAAAGCGTCGGCAGAAACTTCAGGCACTTAACGAGAAGGTTTAGAAAAAACTTTAGACAATAGGATTGTAAATGATCCAATGACAAAGAAATGAAAATATATTGAAATCAAATATATATTTGATATTGAAACAAAGCAAGAAGTGGACTCGTACAGCAGAAAATGGCGTAAATGGAGCAGAAAAAAGAGCTGTAGCGCCGAAAGTGAGAGCGGGGCGCTGCGCCCTGTGGGGAGGTCAGGGTCGGAGCAGCCACGCCTCGACCAGCACCGCGTCTCAATCCCCAACTTGACACCTCCCCTCCTCATCCCTCCTGGCATTCCTTTCCCTTTCTGTAACCCTTTATTGCTTTCAACCATTCAGGATACAAGTAAGAATGGCATTGGGATAAAAGTGAACGAATACGGTCGCTGCGGATAGTAGAGGCATTGAGAGACAAGTGGATAAATGCGGTCACTTCGTTAGAATCTACTTGCACTTCAGGTAGGAATAACATTATTGCAGTTGACTTACGCCTTCTTGACCGAGGCTTGAACTGCTTTATTGAATAAGTGTTCCGCGTACGTCCTCTACATCGCTGCACTCATTCATCGAATGCTGTTGTTCGCTCGTTGCAGTCCCTGAACCTCCTTGTTCAGAACCTTGCCTCAATTCTTGTTTTTGACCTTCTGCGTGTTTCAGTCCCACTCCTACCTTGGCCCTACCTTCTTTTCCGCCTCACAAGTTCATTATCTCTGCTTGTGGGTCACTTAATTTATCCAGCAACGTTTGCGTCCACGTTGCCTTCTCCACTTAATCATCGCTACCTCGAAATATCCCTCACTTAGTGATCATTCCTGACAACTCTCCCCATTTACGGTACCATTTTTCCAACTTTAACCTTTAACCCGCAGCGCGGTTTCCTCCCTCCCCTTGTCTGTAACTTCTTCTGCTTGCATTCTTCCCGCGCTTGCCCCAACCTCCTCTGTCTGCTCTCTTCCTCTCCATTTTCCCTCTCCCCGTCACCCCTTTCCTCTTTCCTTCTTCCCCTCCTGCCGCCCCAGAAGGCAACTATAAGCTAGTCCACTCACACCCCTCTACCAGGAGGTGGCCCCAACATCATTCCTGCTCCTCCCCAACTAGTCACGAACTTAATATTCCCCAGGCACGGTCAGTAAATCGTTCATACCTGGAGCGCGTGGGAAGATAATGGAATTTATACGGCGATAATAGATGGTTAGAGGTAAATATAGTGATATTTACAAAGGTAAAGATTAGGTACCAGGTAAAGCTAATGGAAATGAGATATTCAGATCAGAAGAGGAAGTAAAAGTTAGAAATAACTTAACGTAAATTTGAATTGGAAGGGTAGGATAGATAGACGAAGTTGGATAGTTTGGATAGGATAAGGTGTAGGACAAGTTAGCGCTATTTATTTCGTATACACATTTTCGGTGCATATTTTGTACAATTTAACGGTGAAAATTGCATACGTATTTACTGGATTATTCCGCTATGCGCATTTTATTTCGTTTGGTATTTTGAAGAAGTTTTTGCGTAGAAATCCCAATCAGGGTAAACCAGTTTACAACGCCTGTTGAGTACCAGTTCTTGACTCGTATTTTTACTTGTTTGGGTAAGCATATCATTACTGGTTGGCAATGCGTGTGTTTAATGTTGAATTATGCAGATTTTTACGAGTTTACAATGCGTATTTTTGGTTGATACGCGATTCTACTAGTTTGTGATGAACATTTCTGTGGACCTGCTATATGTATTTTCACTTTTTTTGCGCAGCGTATTTTTTTACATTTTGTCAGTGCGTATTTTAACTTGTTTGCTATGCCTTTTTTTCACTGGTAGTGATACTTATTTCGTGCGGAGTTTTTAATGCGTATTTCGTACTGGGTTTCGATGCGTTATACTACGTACTGTCTGCGAGGCGTAATTCGTAGCACTCTTTTGCGACACTAATTACATTATTTTGCGATAAGTAATTCGCACTAGTTTGTGATGTGTATTATATTATTTTGCGATCAGTATTTCGTAATAGATTCTGATGCGTATTACATTATTTTGCGATCAGTATTTCGTACTAGTTTGCGATGGCAACCGTGCACTAAATTTAGCATTAGACATCACGCTATTTGATCATCTAAACTGTTGCACTGCAATACCGGTAATTATGCGAGGCCACTTACCAATTAAGAGATGTAGAAAATTTTAAGCATGCATCTATTATAATTCTGCGCCGAATATTAGTGTGGAAGAGTTTGAAGATATAATGAGTGTAGAGAAGATATAATGCTGAAGATATAATGAGTGTATAAGATATAATGAGTGTACAGAAGATATAATGCTGAAGATATAATGAGTGTATAAGATATAATGAGTGTAGAGAAGATATAATGCTGAATGATATTATGAGTGTATAAGATATAATGAGTGTAGAGAAGATATAATGTTGAAGATATAATGCTGTCTCTTATACACATCTAGATGTGTATAAGAGACAGGTGCTACACCCATGGTTTCACTATCATTGCAAGTTAGAGTTAAGAAATAATCCCAAGGATTCTCACCCATCATTGCAGAAAGACGTTGAACCTCTCGGCGACTATCCGCCTCGTCAAATTTTAAGGAGCCTTCACGACATTCAGGGACAACGTATTGCCTGTTAATGTGCTCCAAGCCCTTACGCAGAGCGACGGAAACGCTGTTGTTTTGCAATAGACTATTTAAATAGACATCAAAACAAAAAGCGATATAATTAGGGTCGTGACTAGTGAGCAAAGATGAGTCGAACATGCGCACTCTCAGATGATCCACAAGCTGTCTCTTATACACATCTAGATGTGTATAAGAGACAGGCGCGATACAGGGCCAAGCGCGATACTGGATCAAGCGCGATACTGGTTCAAGCGCGATACTGGTTCAAGCGCGATACTGGTTCAAGCGCGATACTGGTTCAAGCGCGATACTAGTTCAAGCGCGATACTGGATCAAGCGCGATAATGGGCCAAGCGCGATAATGTGCTAAGCGCGATAATGGGCTATTCGCGATACTACGCCGAGTTCGATATTGGACCAAACGCAATATTGGGCCCTGTGCGATTCTAGGTAAAGCGCGATACATTCTAGGCCAAGTGCGTTACGGGGCCCTGCGCCACACTAGGCCGCGCGCGATACTGGGCATTGAAAGATTATGGGCCCTACGCGATAACTGAAAGATTATGGGCCCTACGCGCTAACTGAAAGATTATGGGCCCTACGCGCTAACTGAAAGATTATGGGCCCTACGCGCTAACTGAAAGATTATGGGCCATACGCGATAACTGAAAGATTATGGGTCCTACGCGATAACTGAAAGATTATGGGCCCAACGCGATATTGGGATATGCGTGACACTGGTTTCTGTACGATAGTTGATTTTGCTCGAGATATATAGTGGGAATAGTGGTCCATCGCGATATCTTGTTACTATCATGCGTGCTATACTGGATGGACGCGACGCAATACTGTCAGAGCGTCACCACCCATGATGTCATTAG